CTTCAGCAGGCAACTGGGTGGCTTCAAAAGGAACCCTGATCCATTCCACAGGGACACAATGAAAACCAGGCACTGCTTGCCTATGCCGAAATCATCCTTTAATGGAAGATGTATTCCTCCCACCAGCCGTCGATTGTGAGTAAAATACAGTAGTATATTTCAACATAAGGTCTGCAGTGTGAATGTGAAAGCTATTTTTTAGCAGTGACACAAGATCAAACTTAAGTACTAGTGCAGTGTATCACACTGCTGAATTGGAACAGTTACTTGAAACATCTTATAAGAACAAAGGCAGCTTCCCCCACATTTGACTTTTATATATCACAATTAGGTAACAAATTGTTCCCAGAGATTAGCTGTTCATAGGCACAGCATGTATTAAGTTTCCACTAAGCTAAATGTGTAAAACAATAACTAAATTGTAGCACTGTGCAGGATGGACAGTTCCCAACATGGGAAGTCTGAGATACCAGGAATGAAATAAACAAATTGTTCCCAGAGATTAGCTGTTCACAGGCACAGCATGTATTAAGTTTCCACTAAAGCTAAATGTGTAAAACAATAACTAAACTGTAGCACTGCGCAGGATGGACAGTTCCCAACATGGGAAGCCTGAAATACCAGGAATGAAATGACTTTATTCCATGACATACCAAAGTAATGCAACAATTCAGCAGTATAAAAACACAATAAGGACTGTTTCAAACAAAGCTTTCTCTGTTGTACTTGAAATCCAGATGTAGCAATGTGCAACTGCAGGACACCCCCTTCTCTCTGCTCCATGGCAGCCCCTCCATCTCCCTGAAAATGGTACAGAGTCATGGAATTTTGCCAAATGAGGTGGCTAGTATGCAAGGAGAAGAGGAATATCCCAAAAATATGTGGATGAATCCTCTTTCGTTTGAACCCTTACATCAGCAGAAGACAACTTCTGGACTCAACCAAAGTTTTATAAGTTCAAATTGGTTGATGTTTGCTTATTTCAAACTAAAGCTTATATTGTTAGTTCAAACAAGCCACAGTTAAGCAAAAAGGACACAAAAGTTTGAGCTTCTTCTCCCAGTCACACAAGTGGAGAAAGAGGGAAGACTGTATGCTTGAGACAAGTTGCAACCCAGCTCAGCTACATGGTGATACAGAATGCCCTAACATATGGGAAAACAAGAAAGAAGAAAGAACTTTGCATATTAGGCTGTTAAGAGAAGAAACAGAGCTGCCTTTAAAACAGCTTGGCACACCCTGGCTACCCGCATAGTCTAAACAAGAAGAATGTTCAAGCCCCAAATGCAGGAGCATTATCTAACATAAAGTTAACCAATCTTCTACAATATCATATCTGGGCTTGAACCAAGACGTCAGTTTACAGCTACTCCACCTAACACAGTTGTTGTGATATCTGTGCAGCTTTTAAGGAAGCTGAAAATTGACAAATAAGGTTTGGGAGACTTTAAAATTTGAATGCTTTGTAAGCACACCTTGGAAGCTTTTAAAATTTACATACAGTTTAGACCTGTGTATTTTATTTGTTGTAAGATGCCTGGACTTTACCAGAAAGTAGATAATGAAGAATTGATATCAGCAACAACATAAAGTGCTTATTGATAAAAACAAAATGAAAAGGTTTTGGCAGCACGATTTACCGATCAGTCTCATCTTCACAATTAGGAACCAAATCAAGAATAAGGAACTTGGATAAGGGAACACAACTGCCTAGTTTCAGAATACAGAGGTTTATTTAGGTGTACCTGGCATCAGACTTACTGATCTGGATAGATTCCTAATGTATTTGAACAAAGTTTCAACTTTGAAATGCTTTGTTTTCACTATATGAAAACTGCCAATTTCCTCTGTTCCAATTGGTACTCATCTTCTGGTCCATCAACCCCCCTCTCCCCCTTCAAAAGAATCCAATCAACTGTTCTCTTCACTATCCCCTTCTCAGCATTGTTGTTGATGATCTTCATGAGGCAACCTGCAGTGTCCTAGGTACCTGATACTGTCGGAAGTTACACAATCACCCAAGGGGTAAGCATACCACCAGAAGACCCTGCCCAAATACTATAGCAGGCAAACAGAGGTTCCCAATGCCAAACAAAAATGGGGCAAAGTGGGTCACTTGTGTGTTTTTGTTTGTTTGTTGAAGAATAAATGTCAACATGGGCATCGGCTATGCTAGCTGAGGCATTCTGTCAGCTATACTCCTTAAAATTAACTTTTCCCAACTTTCCCAAGCAACAAAAATCTGATCTTCAATAGGCACATGGCTGTTATCAAGGATTCAGTTCATGAGAAGCTATCTTTGCTTCTACAGGCGGAACCTGTGTACCAAATAGAGAAGAACATGCATCTAAGCATGCAGCCCAGAGGGAGTTCAGAGCAATAGTGCAAAAATAACTAGGGCCTTGGAGATGGGGAGAAGTAACAAAAGACAACCACTGTGTCAGCTTGGCTAAGCGGCACACAATTGCAAACAGCCAAGTGTGTGCACTTTAAAGAGACAGGTTTCACCTAAGCAAGGGTGGAGGGTAATTATCAAAACTACTTAACAAAAGAGGATCATTCTATAAGAAGAATTTGGGCTCATAGGCACATCTCCCCTCTGTATGCTGCTGTCACAGAAAAGCCCTCTAGCAAATATAGCAACAAATGTTCCCATCTAAGAAAAGTATTTCCACTTTATTTTCAAAAAAATTAGCACATGGGAGCCATTACCCTACAATCTGGCAGCACTTTCAGTGGGAGCTGAAGGGATCATAGCTTATGAACCATTGGCTTTGCATGATACAAGGGGATGGAACTGATAGGACTTTAAAAATACATTTTAAAATCTCCCTCCTAAGAAAACATTGGGCACAATCCAGTAACAATTAAGCACTTTCTAGTCTCACTAATTTCAGGCTGAGGGAGGTATTCACGCATTTCATAATCTCATCAATAACAGCCAATGAGATCAAGGAGCTGTCTTCTTAAAAGGCTATCTTCAGCACGGCAGTATTGTTGTCTCCTGCATATGTCTGGGAGGGACACCTCAAACCTGGCTACCTTCATGACACAAGAAGCTGAGTTTTGATTGTAAGTATACAGAGTTTATCAATTGCAGTCTAAAGATACCTCATAGTGGCAAGATTAAGTTACCTTCAATTGTCCACAGGTGCCCCTCCATGAAAAGTTTCCTAGGCCACACGTGGACTTGGTGCTAGTCCGTCTTTTTATCTGCCAGTCAGTTTGGGCAATGCTTCCCTCCATCTCTCATTACTTTATGGGCCTGGAACTTGTTAGTGGGATCAGAAGAGATGAAAATGGGACAGCTCTTTCTGGCATTAGGGCCTCTTCCTTCACCTCTAACTTGTGCTTCTCCCACTGTAGTTGCAGTCTTAGCTGTTCTGTCCAATGACTGGTCAGAGCTTCAGCATTTATGAAAGTTGCTCCTGGATGCTAACTAGTCAGCCTCCCCTGTCTCTAGCATGGTACAGTTCTTATCCAAGCTGTTCTTGGCCCATCGGTGGAGTTTGGCTGGACCGGGAGAGAGACCTCTTGTAGTGGAACTGCAGCAAAACTGCCTGGGTTGGTTTCTCCCCCAGGCCAAAACTTAGCTTCTCTTTTGCACCCCAACTCTCAGTGCTATTTGTAGTCTAGTGGGGCACTGGGACTAGCTGAAGGCTTCCCTTTTGCTATATGGTAGCCCCACCACGGTAGCTTTTGTAGCTAAACTCTCCCACATGTAATTCTTCATACTAGTTGCTGTTCCCACTGTGCTCCCTTGTTGCTGGGGAATGAGAAATTTGTGCTGCTTGCTAGTCTGGAGTTATTTTTCCTCATATCCCACCCAAGCCTCCTTGGTGGCAGCACTAGGACATGTGGAGAACCTGGGATCCATAACACAGAGGCACAGTGGCAGCTCCCAGGCTTTGGAAGAGACTGCAGTGAGAAGCCAGGTTGGCCTCCTTCCTCTTGTCCTTTTGTCATCAAGCAAAGACCTTCCTTTTGGGGCAGGCTTTTAAGCATTATGTGGGGGTCTAGGGAATGTTCTCCCCTTCATGGATTGCTGCCTTGTCGTAGCGAAGGGGCTTGAGTAACTCAGAGAAGCTATGGGTATGCCAAGCAGGGACACCCAAGACGGACAGGTCATAGTGGAGAGTTCTGACTAAATGTGATCCACCTGGAGCAGGAACTGGCAAGCCACTCCAGTATCTTTGCCAAGAAAACTCCATGGACAGAAACAAAAGGCTGAAAGATATGATGCTGGAAGATGAGCCCCTCAGGTCGGAAGGCGTCCAGCATGCTACTGAGGAGGAGCGGAGGACAAGTGCAAGTAGCTCCAACTGAAATCTGATTAATGAAGGGGTTGGGCCAAAGCCGGAAGGACACTCAGCACTAGTTAGTCTTGAGTATTGTGTCCAGTTCTGGACACTACACTTCAAGAAGGATAAGAGATGGGGTACTCTTATACGAATATCTCCACACAGCTGGACTTAACAAGAGAGCAGCCCCTGTGAGCAGCCCATCCACTCATGCATCCACCAGCACCGGTAGTCTCACTCATCCTTCCAACTGCTCCCGGAACTCCGCTCTTTTCCTGCTTGCCTGGCCACTCCAGGCAGTGGGAGGGAGGACGAGTCTCCCTGCATGGCTGCTGAGTCGCTAGCTGAGCAGGAAGAGAATGGAGCTCAGGGAGTGATCGGAAGGATGAGCAAGGCTGCCACCGCCGCCACTGAACACCTGAGTGGATGGGCCAGCTGCAGGGGCTGGCCCCTTGGTAAGTCTAGCTGCACGGGGATATTTGTACATGAATACCCCCATCTCTAGTTGTGGTACTGTTGGTTCACAACATTCTTTGCTCCAACCAGCATGAGGGGCTCCAATGTCATTATACCTAAAAGGCACAAAGGGAAAGAGTCTCTACTGTTAACTGCAGTTTCCTAGATGACAATCACCATGCTCCCTTCAAAGTTAAGAAAGACCAGAGTGTAAGTAATATTGACCAGTCTAACTTTACATACCTCTACTGCTGGAGAACTTGTCTGGCTAAGATGATTTTCCTCTTGGAAGTAATCCTGATGAGCTCTTCGACCCATCTTTGTTATCTATAGGGAGATTAAAAGTATGCATGTTCAGAAGGGCAGCTTCAGAACTTTACAGAACATATTATTCATGTAACACAGGTATAGGAACTTCTGGCACTCCAGATGGTTTTGACTCCAACTCCAAAAATCCCTTACTATTGGACATCCTGTCTATGGCTGCTAGAAATCAAAAACCAAAACACGTGAAGTGCCAAATGTCCCATCTCCATTATACATAGTGATGGAAACAGAGATATGATGGGGATGGACAAACTATAACATAGAGGTGGAGGCATTAGGCTTATAGGAGCTTTTTTAAAACTAGAAATTCAGGTTCTACCCACCAGTATCAGTATCCTCGCAGTCCAGCCATTTCCTTACTAGAGCTGGTGGACTTAGTCTCTGAAGCATTGTTGGGACCCCCGAGGCTGATTTCAACACCCATGTGGAGATGGAGGTTTCTGGTCCAGCTCGAGTTCTTGGAAACCATGGCTTCCTTGGACATGTCCCATGTGGGTGGTCACATGTTAGACCTGGTTTTCTCCACTGAGCAGAGCGAGTGTGGACTGATGGTGTCTAACCTTGCGTTAGTCCCCTTGTCATGGTTGGATCACCACCTAACAAAATGCAACCTCACAATGGCTCTCCCTCCCTGCAGGGAGCTATTTTAATGGTCTGCCCCCGCACTACTGGATCCTACAGAATTCCAGGATGCCATGCAAGGGATTCTGACTAATCTGGCTGGCGCACCTGTTGTTGCCAACCAGCTTCAGGATCACAATGGCTCTCCCTCCCTGCAGGGAGCCATTTTAATGGTCTGCCCCCGCAGACTACTGGATCCTATAGAATTCCAGGATGCCATGGAAGGGATTCTGACTAATCTAGCTGGCGCACCTGTTGAAACTCTGGGGGATGGCTGGTATACCACCGGCACCAGGGCTATTGAAACGACATTTAAACGCCCACACCAACACAGAGCTCATCCAGCGCCCTGGTTTAACCAGCAGCTGCGAGCTATGAAGTGGAACAGGAGGAGGCAGGACAGCATTTGAAGGAGGAACCCGACAGAAAATAATTTAAAAGCTGCCAATCATGACTAACCTTTACATTGCAAAGGCTGCTAGAAAAGCTCACTTTGCTGGCTGGATAAGCAAAGCTTTGAACCAGCAGGTGGAACTTTTCCATATAGCACGCTATCTATCCAGAACTGGACACAGTGATTGGCCTCCCCCTAGCATCTCATGTGACCAATTTGCAGCATTTTAAAAATCAAAAGTGGAGGCCATCCGCTGGGACCCAGCTCCTTATTTGGAAACAGTAGATCGAGCAGAGACATCCAGTGCAGTGCTTTGTCCGTCGAGATTTACTTGGTTTCAACCTGTGACGTCCATAGAGGTGGACAAGATCCTTGATCGCTGTCATGCCACCACTTCCTCCGTTGATCCTTGCCCAGCCTGACTAATCAAAGCAGCCAGGTCTGTGACAACTGAATGGGCTTCTGCAATAATTAATGGATCTCTTAAGGAGGACACGGTTCCCTTTTGCCCTCAAGGAGACATTCATTAGGCCCATGAGGAAGAAACTGAACTTGGTGGCAGACAGTATTGGCAATTATAGGCCCGTTGCCAATGTTTCTTTTCTTAGCAAGGTAGTAGAGAGGGTGGTGGCCAACCAGCTTCAGATAAATTGCTGTCTATCGAAAACATAGTCTTGCTAAACCAAATTTCCCATAAGAATGCACTGAAAATTAATTAATGTGTTCCTAGGGGAATTTTTTTTAAAAAAGGAACTTAAGGGGTAGGGAGCTGGGGAAGCACCATGGGAGGACTAGCGGGGGGGTCCCTTCCCCCTGATCACCAGCTTTGGAGGTCCCCCACTAGTCCTCTGATGGTGCAGGAAAAGACTCCAAAACGCTCTAAAGTGGGTGCCCTTTTCCCTTCTGAGGCTTGCCAAAGGCTGGAGGAAGAGGCGGGAACTTTAAAATTGGTTTCAGACAAGCCTCTGCAAATGCTGATCGCTGCGCAGAGGGACCCGCACGAGCCCACTCATGGTGCAAGGTAAGCCCCGGGGGACCCCCAAAGCCAGGGAGTGTGGTTTCAGGGCACCCCCACCAAAGTTCTGATGGCTTCTCCTGCACCATCAGAGCCCTGGCGGGGGTGCCCCCAAACCACCCATGCCCGCTTTAGAGCATTTTGGAGGCTTTTCCTGCACCATCAGAGGACTAGTGGGGGACCTCCAAAGCTGGTGATCATGGGGAGGGGACCCCCCGCCAGTCCTCCCATGGTGCTTCCCCAGCTCCCTACTCCTTAAGTTCTTTTTTTTTAATTCCGCTAGGAACGCATTAATTAATTTTAGATTCATTCCTATGGCAAATTTGATTTCGCAAGACAGCAATTTCCGCAAAACGGATTAACATTGTGTTGAGAGGCACTACTGTATCTCCCAGTTCCCATGGTTTGTCTTTGCAGGGGCAGAGAAAAGGCAAGCTTAGATTTACCAAGCATTTTGTAGCAGTTTTTTCCTCCTTGCATGCAGTAAATTGTGACCCTAGTGGAAAGTAACTTGATTTACTCCCTGGGTCAGAGCATCTACCCTATTCATTACACGGTTCTAGTAAAAAATGAAAGTAAAGCCGACATATGCCTGATGTCTGCCCTTCCCTGCTCTGTTTCCACCCTGCCTTCTGCCTGGATATTTTCTACCTAGTACTGTATAGGATGAATGACAGAGTAGCCTGCAGTATCAGGATTGTGCCTTCACGTACTATAAAAACCGTGGGATTGTAGTCACAGCCCACGAAAGATTACAAAACGCAGAGCGAATGTGAATTACAGTACTTAGAAGACTCCATTATTACAGGGCTACTTCGCAGGAAACTGCCACAGAAAGAAAGATGTACCCAAAGCTTTCACAAGGCGAGAGAAGAAACTCAGGGAGATTATTCAAGTATCTGGAGGGCTCTGGTAAAAACGGGGCCACGATCTCGGCAGCCGCCGCCGCCTTCCCCGTCCCTGCTCTCCCCCGTTGGGAGCCGCCGGCTAGACCAGCGCAGGCCGTCCCAGCAGAGGAGGCCCTCCCGTTGCCACGACAACGGAAGCGCTTCTCACCCCCTTGCAGACTTCCTCCTCTAACTCCAACTCGTCCTCCATCCTTCGGGCCCGCGGCGCGACCGGGAGAGAGAAGAAAAGGGACGCCGGAGCTCACTTCCGGGAGAAAGGCCCGCCCGCTCGCCCGGCCGCCCGCCCCCCCCCATAAGCGTCCTTAGCAACCGACGACTTCCTTTAAAGGCCCAAACACGAGAAAAATAAAGAAGACCTAAACGTTGTTGGGGCTCCTGAAAGACGAACTGCTGTTATTTTAATGTGAGCTTTCATAGAGAGGTTCGTTTCCTTAGACTTCCTTTAAACGGGCCGCAACCCCGTTACCCGTCAGGGATTCCGCTGAAAAAAAAATCAGCGTCCTTAGCAACCGACGACTTCCTTTAAAGGCCCAAACACGAGAAAAATAAAGAAGACCTAAACGTTGTTGGGGCTCCTGAAAGACGAACTGCTGTTATTTTAATGTGAGCTTTCATAGAGAGGTTCGTTTCCTTAGACTTCCTTTAAACGGGCCGCAACCCCGTTACCCGTCAGGGATTCCGCTGAAAAAAAAATCCAGAAGGAAGGAAAGGAAGGAAGGAAGGAAGGAAGGAAGGAAGGAAGGAAGGACAGACAAGGCGAGGAAGCATGGTCTCCTCGCCCGACCCTCTCTCTCTCTCTGTGTTCCTCTTCAGTATAAAAGCGAATGGATCGCTTCTTCACGTGGCACCCCATCTGCTTATTTAAAGACAGGCTTTCGTGCATAAAACGTGGATTTCCCTGCGGTGAATAAAAATAAGATAAACATCAAGGAAGTCGTAAGCAGCGGTGTAACGGTGAAATAGGAAATATGCTTATTCGGAAATCGTTCCCCTTGAATCTAACGGTGCTTACTCCCTGAAAGTGGCACATATCCACTCATCTGATCGTTCTATTCAATTCAGTGGAGATTATTTCTGAATAGACATATATACAATTACGCTGCAATCTAAATGAGCCTCGTGGCGCAGTGGTTAAAACGCTGTAAAGGTTCCCCTTGACAATTTTTTTGTCCAGTCGTGTCCGACTCTAGGGGGCGGTGCTCATCCCCATTTCCAAGCCGTAGAGCCAGCGTTTGTCCGAAGACAATCTTCCGTGGTCACATGGCCAGTGTGATTTAGACACGGAACGCTGTTTACCTTCCCACCCAGGTGGTCCCTATTTATCTACTCGTATTTGCATGCTTTCGAACCACTAGGCGAGGATTCGAACTTACAACTGCTGGTCTTCTGACCCTGCAAGCACAGGCTTCTGCGGTTTAGCCCACAGCGCCTGCAGCTAAAACTGGGCTCACGACCTGGGGTTCAAATCCCAGGTAGCCGGCTCAAGGTTGACTCAGCCTTCTGGAGAGTGCTTGTAGCACTATGGGGCGGTATATAAGTCCAATAAATAAATAAATAAATAAACTCATTTATTCTCCATCACCTTTGAGGGGACTATTTCAGATTAGTGCAACAGAGGCTTATGCAATTCTAAACCTGTTATCTTGAGACTCTACAAGAGATGGTGACAAAATTAAAAGGAAATAAAGGAAAGAAGCAAAGGGCAAAATTTGTGTCTGAGGAAGTGGATTTGATCTACAAAAGGTCGTACTGAAACAAATATGTTAGTATTTACAGCACTGCTACATTTTATCCTCCTCTTTTTTTCTTTCTGTTTTCCCCCTTTGATTTTGTCAATATGCTGACAAAGAGAGGCAGCACTGCTACCTCTTTGGACTTTTCTATATGATCTGCCATTTTGGAGATGCAGAACTGTCATTCCTGTTCCTTATTACCTCATCCCCTTCTATTTGATTTTATCATAACTTGCTTTGTACGCAACACATTGTACAATGGTATGTGCTGTCAAGTCACCTCCAACTTATGGTGACCCTATAAATGAGCAATCTCCAAAATGCCCTGTCCTCAACATGTCCTGCATATCTCTTGTTGACTCAAGCCATCCTGTATTTGGCCCTCCACTTTTCATGCTGCCTCCAGTGTTTCTGTCTTTTCCAGAGAATCCTGCCTTCTTATGATGTGACCAAAGCAGGACAGCCTCAGTTTCAACATTTTTGCCTCCAGAAATAGTTCAGGCTTGATTTGATCAGATTTTGTTTATCTTTCTGGCAATTGGGGGTATTTGCAAAGCTCTCCTCCAGCACATTTCAAATGAATCATTTCCCCTCCCCATCAGCTTCCAGCTTTCACACCCATACATAGTGACTGGAAATACAAGAGGTTACATGGTTTTGATCTTTGACAACAAGTAGTACAATAAATAGTACATAGTAAGGGGAAAAAATTTTGCTGTAAAAAATGAAGGTCAAAATTCTTCAGCATTTTTTTCCAGCAACTAGGCCATAAAAATTAAAACAACAGTTTTGAGTGCAGTGGCTACATGCAGTGTAATCACACCTGTGAAATTCCCCCTTCCATAAAGGTGCAGGAATTCTTCCTTTCTCTTCATGCAGTTTCTGAGGGATAGAAAAGACTTGTATCTGGACTGATACCCATGTTTCACAAAGAAGAATTCCAAATGAGTTTTATCATGCCTCTCTACCCTCCTGATTTTTATGGGGTTTCAGAATCATTTCCTACTGCTTATAACTTTCACTCCCTTGTTTTCTCTTGGCTTCCCCCAGCAAACATCAGTAAAAGGGGTGGGGGAGGGAGAAAGAACAGCTGCACTGTAACAAGTAGCTGGTAACATAAAGATCCTAGATTCTCTTGCACAGTTTACTCAAAATGAGGATGATGAAGATGACAAAAGTCTTTTTCAAGGCTCCTTTTTGTATAAAGATTTCTACAGGTTTCTAAGAAATTTCTGTTTTCCGCCTTTGATTTTCCATGAGTGTTGTTGTTGCACAGGATTACTTATTCACTTCATAGTGCATTATGATTGATTCCTTTGTCTACCTGCAGAATTGTCTGGAGACCATTTCCACAATCTCACTGTCTGGAAACTTTTTGCATACACTTGTAAATACTCCAAATTTTCACCATCATGTGTGGGCCTGTTGTGTGTCTCAGAGGCCAGCTACATGGGAGTTTATCCCACTCTGTAGCCCTCTGCTGGAATGGTTGAGATTGCTCTAAAAACATTAACTACAAGACATTCTTGTTAGAGTGTTCCAACCCATCCCTAATGGGGACCATTCAGTCCCTGGTTGGTCTACGTTGGAGTCTACTGTTTATTTGGAATACTTAGGATCATCCCAAATAAACACAGTTTTCTTGCTGTGTAATCACCTAGATTGCTCCGGTGTGGAACTAAAGATATGTTCTTCCTACACATCAGTGGTGATGTACAGAGGTGGGGGTGTATGGCTATGACTGTGGATGGCACCATCCATCCTATTCTCAAGTGGAAATGGCACATTTGTTTTAAGTAAAAAACACACAGCTTTCCCACTATTGTTTTGCATCACTTAAAGTGCTATGTTACTTACAATTTTTTTTTAAAAGAACAGGAGGAATGCAGGACTGAAGCATGGCACTCCATAGCCTTGCACACACCTTGTGTGCTTAAAAATCCAGCATTGATGTCCACCACAAGCAAACATAAACAGGCTGTTTCCCAACTCACTGACAGAAGGGGAGGGGCACATTGTGACCAAATAATGTGATCTAACACCAACATGTGATTGACCATATTGCATCTACAAGGGCTACAGGAATAATTTCTGTGTCAATGGAGGAGGCTGTCTAATCACGGTTCCAACGCATGCCAAAGTAACTCAGACCAGATAACTTTCTGTCACTAATGTAGCCATACCGTGAATCCCTAAGCAGGTGAAGTTGGTTTAGTACTATTTTCCATATACTGTATCTATTTGTAGAGCACCAAAAGCACGGATGTAAGGTTACTCCTTTAAGTGGGCAAATATGGTAGTGTGGGGTACAATTTTTTTTGCTGCTGGCAACCTGCAGGGGGCAGCATAGACTGCCACATGTGTATTTAAAAAACCATCAGGCAAAAGAAGTGTTTTCTGGGTTCTGAAAAATGGCTAATTTTGGTCTTAAACTGTGCAAGTGGGCAGGGGCAGCTTATATTTCTCTTCAAGGCTTTTAGGAAAGGCAGTTCATCTCTTCTTCAGGAAAAGGGGAGTCTGGACAGAACTGGGAGACCTAAAATAATCCTTGGGGAATCACGTATGACCTCACTCCCCCCCCCCACAGGATAGGCAGGACTCCTCTTAAATACCTTTCAGACAGCTGGTAAAGGTGTGTTGCCTTGCCTTCACCAGCTAACACTCTTCTGTTTTTACCAATACTTGATTTTACTGTGCAAAAATGTGCAAATCTTGTTTTTCCTCTTTTTAAAATTGTTTCTTGTGTTCATTGTTTATTTCTGCCTTATCAGGAGCCCTCATTGAGTTGAGAGACAATCCACAATTACTTGTCAAGAATTAAATACACAAAGCAAAGCCATTGCACCAATGTTTCTATTATCACACAAAATTACTTCTCAGTGCCGGAGCTGACGCTACCATTAGAAAATGTGAGGTAGTCACCTCAGACAAACAGCAGATTGTAAGAGGGGACAGTGGAGGTTGCTTTCTGAATGTTGTTCCTAGACTCTCCAGCTGTTTTACTCCATCAGAGGATAAATGTATGCTGTGGTTGCCTGTGCTGCACCAACTAAACCAGTTTGCTGATTCAGGTGTGGTAGACATTTCCTCAATGCAGATACTAAACTGTAGACAGACTCTACCTAGTGAAGTGTAGTGGTCAAAGTAATGGACTAGGACTCAGGAGGCCTGGATTAAAATCCCTGCTCAGCCATGGAAACTCACTGGGGTGTGGAAAGGGTAAAACCACTCCTTAAATATCTCACTTTCCTTGGAAGCCTCACTAGGGTCACTATAAATCGGTTCCAACTTGAAGGCACATAACAGCAATTGACAGTCTCTAGTAAAAGAAGTAATAATGAAGTGCAAAATTTGTGCATTAACTAGCCCTGTACTCCAGTGTGATTCACCTGCTAGTCCAGCTGGCTTCTGTAAAGTTTAATATATTCGCAAAGGCTTTCACAGCCAGGATCTAATGGTTGTTGTGGGTTTTTTGGGCTCTTTGGACATGTTCTGTGGCCGGCATCTCTGTGCTGTCCTCTGAAGATGCCGGCCACAGAGACTGGCGAAACTTTAGGAAGAACAACCTTCAGAACACGGCCAAAGAGCCCGAAAAACCCACAACAACCACTGTGTAAAGTTTGTTTGTTTGTTTATATTAAATCACATATATAATGTGGAGAGGGTGCCATCCTGTCCTTCACTTCAGTAAGCAAAATATCTTTGGTTGGCTCTGATTATTCCACAGCAAAGTAAGTATAATTTCCATTATTTTCCTTACTGCATGTAAGTCAGTGATGGGATTACTCTGTCCTGTGCTCTTCTTAAGGCATTTCTTTCACATTTATGTGCACAGAAGTCCTTCTGGAATTTTTTCCCAACTGATTTTTTTAAAAAATCAAAACAGCACATAAATATAATAAACTGACTAAATAATCTCTAGCATCTTAAAAAGCAGAGACATCACCTTGCCAACAAAAGTCCGAATAGTCAAAGCTATGGTTTTTCCTGTCGTGATGTATGGATGTGAGAGCTGGACCATAAAGAAAGCAGACCGCCGAAGAATTGATGCCTTTGAATTGTGGTGTTGGAGGAGGCTCTTGAGAGTCCCCTGGACTGCAAGGAGAACAAACCTATCCATTCTAAAGGAAATCAACCCTGAGTGCTCACTGGAAGGACAGGTCCTGAAGCTGAGGCTCCAGTACTTTGGCCATCTGATGAGACGAGTAGACTCCTTGGAAAAGACCTTGATGTTAGGAAAGTGTGAAGGCAAGAGGAGAAGGGGACGACCGAGGAGGAGATGGGTGGACAGTGTCTGCGAAGCAACCAACATGAAAGTGACAGAACTCCGGGAGGCAGTGGAAGACAGGAGGGCCTGGCGTGCTCTGGTCCATGGAGTCACAAAGAGTCGGACACGACTAAACGAACGAAATAATCTCACTTATGTATATCATACACACAAAGGGTTTCTAACATATATTTTCCCACTCCTGACAGCCCCCAAAACAAAGCCTTACAAGAGGCATCCTACTTGTGTAGTGATTGGCGAGACTGCCAAGCCACAGTCTTGCGTTTGCAGGTCCTGAGCAGGGCTATTAATCAGAGGACTTGGAGGGTATCATTAACTCAAAGGTCACCGTAAGTCAAAAGCAACTTCGCAGCACTTAAAAACAACAGGAAGATTGTTCCTGTCATCCAAAGGTCACATCAGGTAAAATGCAGCTTTCAAATTTCAAGATTCAATCTAGCAGCTGGAAATAACGGGGAAGAGGACCCAAAGCCAAAAACCCAACCCACTCTTTTTTCATCGGAGGGGCGAGTTTTCTTGGAAATCACTCCTATAAACATTCTCTCCTCCTCCTGGGAGCTATTTCTCATTCACAGCTTGCCCGCCAGAGGGCGCCATTCGCATCCCTCAGCAACTCTTTCTCGCCGACCAACTTCCAGAAACTTTGCGTAATAAAATAAATGAAGCGAGGCCTGCCTTGATCACTGCCCGATAAAGACTGCGCAAGCTTCAGCCGTTCGCTGTGTCAGTCCGGAACCTCAGTTTCGCAGTCAGGTTCGCACAGAAGAAACAAATCGAGGGAGTGAAATAATAAATACTCCAGGTTTTAAAGATTCCATTTTCCCTATTATTAAATCCTATCAGTATTTACTTTTCAGTAGCAAAAGCCCAGGTAGACACTGCAAAGAAAAACTTTAAAAGATAGGACAAGGAGGGAGGGTCTCTCTCTCTCTCTCTCTCTCACACACACACACACACACAGAGAGAGAGAGAGAGAGAGAGAGAGAGAGAGAGAGAGAGAGGTACAGAAACGTTGGGATCAGGCTAGTATTAAAATGCTGGCTTGGTAGCTCAGTGAGTCAGCTGCTCAGCCAAAAGTTGGAAGTTCAATTCCCCACTGTGCCTCCTGTGAGTAGAGCCAGCCTGTGTGGCCTTGGGCCAGCTGCACAGTCCCAGGGCGCCTCCAGAAGAAGGGGACAGTAAACAACTTCTGAGTATTCTCTACCTAGAAAACCCTGGAAAGGGTCGCTATAAATCGGAATTGACTTGATGGCACATGAATAAGGATTAATTATTAAAATAGGGATTGTTTTGGTCTAAACCATCTTGGTCTTTTATTTGCCATCAAACCTTCTCACAAACGGTGCAGGGCGGGGCTTCTGGGACTTGCAGACCGCAGGTTCCCCACATCCTTGCATTAGGACAAGCCATCGGTTCTAAAACATTTAGTGAGGAGGGAAAATCATTCCTCGCCGATTCCAATAAACAAAACTAATTTTCTTTGGCTTTACACGACATCCTAGCAAGCCTAAGCACCGCCAGTTCGAGAGGCAGGACACGCATCAGGAGTGGCGCGCTCCGGAGTTTTGGAACCGCGCAGTTTCCACCTAGCCGGGAGCATGGGGGGGGCGGGGGGGGGGAGGGG